AGTGGACTATTTTACACAGACTACTGCACTGAAATAGCTGGTGAGATGGACATTACTCATCATTACCAGGCTGTTAATTGCTCGGTTTGTGTGGTCACGACAGGTCAGTGTATTTCTGTCCTTGAAATCTTACAAACCCTCCTCTGTGTTTGAGTTTCAGTGAAGCGTTGGCTCTTTGGCCCTCTCTAGCCCTCTGTCTGTCTGGTTGGCCGCCGGCCCTGGTTTTTCTGCTGATTGCTGGTTCAGTGTCCAACGCTCTTCAGCGCCTCTCCAGCAAACATCTTGTGTTTTTCTGCTGACGCAGAGACACGGTCGAGTCTGAGGGGAGACCTGCGATTGTCTGCGCTCGCTGACCCCTGATCGGCCCTGACAGCAGAGGTGAATGTGAGTCACCGTCATCACGTGACCAATGAGACGCCTGATGGACAGAGACACACTACAGCAGCTGTTTAAAGATGGCATCACTGGCACCTTGAAGAATATGATATTTATTTATTAGTATTTTAGAGAGAAAATACACTACTGTTTTTTGTTGTTGTAATTGTTGTTGTTGTTTTTTTAAAGAAATTAATACTTTTATTCTGCAAGCACACACTACATTGATCAAAAGTGAAAGTAAAGACATGTATAATGTTACAAAAGACTTCAGTTTCAAATAAATGCTGTTCTTTTGATCTTTCTATTCTTCAAAGAATCCTAAAAATCTAAATGTATCACGGTTTCCACATAAATATGAACTGTTTTCAAAATTGATAATAATCAGACGTTTCATATTATACTGATTTCTGAAGGATCATGTGACACTGAAGACTGGAGTAATGATGCTGAAAATTAAGCTTTGGTCACAGAAATAAATTACATTTTAAAATATATTCACATAGAAAATTTTAAATTGTAATAATATTTCACTTTTTGTACAGCATTTTTAATCAAATAAATGCAGCCTTGGTGAGCAGAAGAGACTCCTTTCATTAAAGCATTAAAAAAAGTATTGACCCCAAACTGTAAATAATAATATAAGTAAAATAATATAAGTAAAAATAATATATGACAATATCTTAAAGATTTTAAGGGCTTACTTTTCTATATTAAAATATAATTGTTTTATTTTTATTTTGTATTTTATTTTGAGGTTATTCGTAACCTTGACAGGCTTTGTGAGTTTCAACAGTTAGCACATTAAAACTAGTACTGCATACATATTTGGATATTTAGGAAAGGGCATTTAGTAATGAGAGCTTTAGCCTGAGTTTGTTTTGAACATCATTTTGCATCCACTCACACACACACACACACACACACACACACACACACACACACACACCTGTTGTGTTTCCATGTTTTATGGGGACATTCCATAGGCGTAATGGTTTTTATACTGTACAAACTGTATGTGCTATTGCCCTACACCAACCCTAAACCTAACCCTTACAGGAAACTTTGTGCATTTTTACTTTCTCAAAAAAACTCATTCTGTATGATTTATAAGCTTGTTTCCTCAAATGTCATTTGGTCCCCATAACGTGATAAATACCAGGTACACACGCACACACATGCACACACACACACACACACACATACTATACAGTCTCCTTCTCTCTGTCTCACACTCTTACCGTAAATGTGATCTGGCCTCAGGCAGATCTCTCTCACACGCAGGATCAGCTTACATTATTTTTACTGGCTCCTATCCATGTCAACCTAAACACACATACACACACAGTGAATAAACACACACACATGCGATTATTATTGACTATAATCAACAGTATTAAAATGCATTCCTAAAGTATAAAGGAACATATGTGTTTGTTCAAAAAAGATGGAAATTAGGGCCAAAGCAGGCGTTTATTTATTTATTTTTTATTATTATTTGGGGGGGCAGAATAAGACCTGCTGCCCTTCATCTGAATAAAACAAACATTTAGCCAGAGAACTGCATGTACCAATCACCCGCAAACCAGGTAAACAACAACAGCACACTGACCTTGGCCTCATAACACACACACACACACACACACACAGGTTCATCTCTGTGTGGGATTTTTCATGGTGCTTCTGCCACTGCTGTGCCAGCATCCTCATGGCACAGTGCCACACACACACACACACACACACACACACACACACACGTTGTGTTTCCATGTTTTATGGGGACATTCCATAGGCGTAATGGTTTTTATACTGTACAAACTGTATGTGCTATTACCCTACACCAACCCTACCCCTAAACCTACCCCTTACAGGAAACTTTGTGCATTTTTACTTTCTCAAAAAAACTCATTCTGTATGATTCATAAGCTTGTTTCCTCATGGGGACCTAAAAAATGGCCCCACAAGGTCAAAATTTACTAGTATTACTATCCTTGTGGGGACCACACACACACACACAACGCACGCACGCACGCACACACACACACACACTGCCCACTCCAGTCAGTGTTACCGTAAACATCCAACCGCTCCTGCAAAACTACCGCAATTCTTCTCAATGTCACAACACCCTGACAAAGTCACACACTTCTCTAGAAACACACTAGAAGTAAAAACAGCGAAACGGAATGCAGAAATCAGTCTGTGGACTCACAACGGCTCTTTATAAAGAAATCTGGCTGTTTTACAGAGGAATTTTCTAAACGTGTGGCTCAACTTGAGCAATCACACTGCATATTAAAATAGAAATGTATTTAAAATTGATAATAATAAATAAAATAATAAACAAATATTTTATAAAAATATATAAATACATTTTTAAATGTTTTACAGCCTATCTAATAAAAATGTGTATTATATATATATATAATACACAAATACATTTTTACAAAATGTTACTTTATATTCAACAGAAACATTCATTAATATTTAATAATAATAATAATGTTTATTTATATTAGTATTCATAAATATGAATAAATGATTTATAAAGTACATTTTAAAAAGTTATCTCATATTTAACAAATACATAGTTAGTTTTTATACATTTATAAAATAAAATGTAACAAAAACTGTCATTAATAATATTATTTTAATAATACATATTATAAGTATTTTTTATAGATTACATAAATACATTTGATAAAATCTACTGTTATATTTAATCATTTAAAATAATAATTAAATACATGCAGAATTTTCTTCTGATAAACCTGTGTGTGATAACTTCAAGGTCAGCTGGTGTCTCCAAAGTAAAACTCTCACTCTTTAATAAAGCAGCTGCATCAGTTCAACCTGATCTCATGAAGCTCTCTTTGTCCCGGCGCTCTCAGGACAGAGCTGCTTTCAGGTGGGTGGAAATGACACCTCACATACTGAACACACAGCAGCACAGGTGCGGAGTGGGACGTCAGCCGGACATCTGAACTACCTGAGAAGACCAAAACGATCAAATAACACTCTGATTCATGTCAATGTACTGCTGTTGCTGCATGCTTAATATGACTTTCCTACATCAAACAAACTCAAAAGGCCTTAAAGCAACCGACTCCATTTCTCTCCGTGAAAACATGATATTCCCTCAAAGTGACTAGAGTACAAACAACATGCTGCTAAAATTACTGACTGACCTTATTTACATACTTAAGAATTAAGTAATCATTAATGGCTCACGTTAAAGTAATTATGGAGCATCATTATATAGGCTAGGCTACATTATCATTACATACAGCATCACTATATCTGAAAAAGCTCTAGAGCCGCAGTGGTTTGTGAAAGAAAGCCTCTAATTTGACTGCTGAACCTGAATTTTGAGTCTAAATATCCAAACGATGAATAACCTATTGACCTGCATGGTTTAGAAGACTGGCGTTTAAACTAATTATTGACCATTGTTATACTATTGAAAAGGCATTTTCTGTATGTTTACTTCTATTTGGGATTCAGTACGTGTTATTTTGTCATTGTGTGTGGATTTCTGAACTGCTTGCTTGTTTTAGCAGGTGTTTCTCGTGAGTGTCGACAACGCGCCTCTGCGTGACAATCCAGATGAAGTGGGCGGGGCAACTCACGCTCCCTCCGAAGAGGAACTCCGCGTCACGATGCCCATATTTGGACTGTAAACTTCCCACAGGAAGCGGGTGTCTGAGGGTCCGTGATGAGCAGAGACTACAGCGACACTGAATGTTTGCAGTCTTGTCTCTTTTACTAACTTGCACATTCAGCAAGATGAAAAATAACGGCTAGATTTTGGTCTTCAAATCTGTGTTACCTAATCTGACGTTTTTAGACAATTGTTTAGGCTATAGCCTACGACAGAAAAACAATAAAAACGAATACAGCAATAATAGATAAAATCAACCAAATTTGCTTTGATAAAAAACTCTTTTCGCCATTTTCATAATAATGTCATTTTATCTGTTACATCTTGTGTTTACGCTAACACGTCCGCGCATCAAAATCATATTAAACCCTAAAACAGCGGTTCTCAATTGCAGTCCTCTTTTGTGTTTCTCTTATCATTTCAGCTGAATGTTCTATTCGAGCGTAAGTGCCCTGTGAAGTGGACATCACAGGATCGGCTATTCCGTATGATTCCAGTTCGAAGGGATCGTATATGTTCCATTCAAAAGGGCATTAAAGTGCGCGAGACGTTAATTTAACTAGTTTTTATTTATTATGTCACACATCATACTTAGTAAGTTTCGTGTGTGTGTGTGTGTGTGTGAATCAGTGAATGAATGTTCCGAAGTGAAGTAAACTTCAACGGATTTCCCGTGCTCAGGGAGTAGCCTATAGGGAGCAGTGAGCACTGTGTAAGGACCATGTCAATCGGAACACAGTTCATGCATGGAGCTCTCTTATAACGAGCTGATGATCTGAATCAGGTGTTATGGGGGGGTGTTAATAGAGTCTAATAGACTCTATTAGAATATAGGCTATTCCTAAACCGTTTCGAATGCGCCCGGTTCGCTGTTCTCGCGCGTCGCCCTCGAGCTTGTTTACTGTCCCAGCAGTTCCCGACAATGACGTGCCGAGGCGTGTGACGTGGACGCCGTTGGGGCGGGAGCTGCTTATAAAAACGAATCCAGCGAACATCTTTCCTGAAGAGCGCTCTCTTTCAACAGACGGGCTCTCTGAATTATTCACGGCTCAAGAGCGTCTCATTGTTGCTGCTGCGTTATTCTTGACATTTTTGGGGACTTTGGTTTGTGTTCAAGTCATTCACGAGGAGCATCGATACAGAGTGGAAGCAGACAGAACGCGGATTCTTTGACTGTCATCGTTATTCGCGCTGTTTTTGCACGGTTTACACTTGAAATAAAGTGGACATTGAGCTGTCAGGCACACTAGGCGAGAAGCCGGTTTTCCAGAAGACCTCTATGAGTACAAAAATGGAGCAGCCGTTTTATCACGACGACTCGTTTCTGTTGGGCTACGGTCACCACGACGCGGCACTACACGACTATAAACTCCAGAAACAGAGCATGCACTTGAACCTGACCGAACCCTATCGAAACCTCAAATCGGACCTCTATCAGACCAGCAATGCTGATGTCTGCTCGCTCAAACTGGCCTCGCCGGAGCTGGAGAGGCTCATCATCCAGACCAGCAACGGGGTGCTCACGACGCCCACACCGGGCCAGTATCTCTACGGTCGGGGAATCACTGACGAGCAGGAGGGCTTCGCGGAGGGCTTCGTCAAGGCTCTGGATGATCTTCACAAGATGAACCAGATGCCCCCGCTCAACGTGTCGATTGGAGCCGGCGGTGTGACGACGTGCTCGACAACTGCGTCCGTTTTCGGCTCCTCCCTGCAGTCTGAGCCTCCCATTTACACGACGCTCAACGCGTACTGCCCAGCACCCAGCCACCCGTCCACCACCATCAACTACCTGCCGCCTCACATACAGCAGAGCCAACACCCGGAAAACGCGCACGGGTTCCAGCACTCCGGCATCCTCCCGCAGCGCTTCGTGCCTTTGAAAGAGGAGCCCCAGACCGTTCCCGACATGCACAGCAGCGACGGCTCGCCACCCATGTCCCCGATCAACATGGAGAGCCAGGAACGCATCAAGGCGGAACGCAAGAAACTCCGGAACCGTCTGGCGGCCACCAAATGCCGCAAGCGCAAGCTGGAACGCATCGTCCGGCTGGAGGATAAAGTGAAGGTTCTCAAGTCCGACAACGCCGGGCTGTCCAACACAGCCTCCGTCCTGCGGGACCAGGTGGCCCAACTCAAACAGAAGGTCCTGAGACACATGAACAGCGGCTGTCAGCTGATGTTGACAAGTAAGATGGAAGCGTTTTAAACGCGGTTGGACTTTCACTATAGCCAACGCAGAAATAACACTGGAAATCGCGTATGTTCTACGACTGAACGGGACTGGGAACTCGCAGGCTCTCAGATGAGGCGTTTTGGACACGTTCTGGGTTCCGAATAAAACGAGCAAACCCGGAACCGGAGAGAACGGACTCTGAGCCCCCGGAGCCGGGTGCCAAGGACGAAGTGGAAAGGCCAGTCGCCGACTCCGTATCAATAATGTGTGTGCATTTTTAAAATCATGATCAGCTGTGTATTTGATCATGTAAACGCATCTGATATTGTCGTGCAGCACAACAGTTCCTGAACTCATAAATTATTGTACTAGTCAGGTTGATCCTGACACTATATTAGCGATGTCACATGTTTACAATGTCTTTTTTTTTTTAATGTGTGCGCTGTTTATTTAAGTAAAGATATTGAAATATAACTTTCGAGTCTATGGCTTTTCATTTGTGTTATATAATATTATATGTTATGTAACTCTTATGCTGACCGTTCCTCGAAGTCCACACGTAGTTCACCCACAAAACGTTCTGAAAACACGAACATTATGAATTATTATGATATTATTCTTCACTGCTTGTAGCGTAATCAGCTGTTTTCTGTGGGTTGTGGGTTGATTCGCACTTCCTGCGTCTGCGCTTTCACACAAGGGGCGCCAGACCTTTCCTACTGACGTCAAACAGCACATCCATATATGGTGGTTTTTGGTCCTCGTACGTCACTCCCCGCCCACAGGCCCGGGTGGAGTAGTTTCACCGCTCCAGCATCTGCGGGACTGAAGAGCAGAGAGGGGATTTCCGAAGCTGGACAAGACCACTGTGAGCATGTGGGATGGTGTGTGTTTCCACGGAGCTTAGTGGGTTGAACGCTTACAAGGAAAAAATTATGCTACTGCTAATAAACGAAACTTATCATTCAGAATATATCCAGAAACCTTTGATATACATATATATTATTATTACTAGTACAATACATGATAATATATGAACTGTATAAGGTATAATAGGCCTAGTGAAATGTAATAATATTTGACTGTTTTATTATTACTCAGAAGTCAGAAAGAGCTTTATTGCCAAGTATGTTTGCACATACAAGGAATTTGTTTTAGTGTCACAAGCTTCCAGTACACGGAGACAACAACAACACACCGATAATAAAAATAAGATGTGAATAAAATACACATGCATAAATATAAATAAACCGAAAAAAATTAATTGTTATTAATGTTATTAATATAAATTGTTATCAATTATAAATTGTTATTAGTTCTTTATCTTCAGACTACAAATCGTGTCGAATATAATCATGTTGAAAAACACACTGATGAACTTTATGCAGAGATATAACAGGTCAAAAAGAGGTCGGGTCAAAAATCCACCTTCAACTTCAGATATGAAGTTTATTTTTGGAAGCTGAAGGATATGTGAAGAGATCAGATTCAGTAGGCTAAGCCTGAATCTCAATGCATCTCTGAATAAGATAATATGACTGTTGAAAAACAGCCTAAAGTGGCTATATACACTGTAAAAAATTATTGTGATTTTAACAGTAAAAGACTGTAAAAATGCTACAGTAAAAACCTTTTAACTTGTTAACAGTAAGTTTCCATACTATATTAGGTGAATAAATGTAATTACATTTAATGTGATTCTACAGTAAAATACTGTTAAAAATACGGTTTTTGGAAGTGAAAAAGAAAAAGTAATTGTATAATTTACAGTGAAAAAACGTAAATTGACACTCCCAGAATTCCCTGCATGACACTTCATATTTGATGTTTTTTTTGTTGAAATAACATGTTTCTTCTTAGTTTTTTTCTTATCAGTTGTGTACACTAGGCACAACGAAATCACTTCACACTATTAAGCGGCTGTGTTATGAACATGCAAAACTGTATCACAGGCTTGCTACAGTGGTAAATTTATTAATTGCACAGACCAGTTATTTTGTAGCACGTGCGATGTCGCACTGTACAGCCCTGACTAGGGTTTAATCGTACATCTAATGTTGTTAAATTAATGTTTATTGCATTATTTCAGTATCATGTGTGTCACCATGATGGGGTTTAGTGTTTGTGTGAATGACACTGTGCCCCTTCTATATATAAGTATTGTCCTCCTCAGCTCGTAGACAAACTGTTTGTGATGAGCTTTGGTTCATCATGTGACTTTCTCATCACCACCAGTTTTTGGTGGTTATCAGTGCATTACAATGGTTCAAAACAGATTTTAGTACTTAAATATGTTGGTTTATTAACATTGCATCAGTTAATGAAATACTGCATTTTATTGTGAATTTAGATTAAGTCTGTAAAACCTAAAATGTTGCTACCATATTTTTTTACGGTGAAGTTCTGGCAACCACAGCTGCCAATATTTTACCGTAAATGTCACAGTTTTTTTTTACAGTGTAGACCAATTTACACCAGATAAAAGACAAAATCATTATCAGCAAATCATTAGGCCTATATATTAGTAAGTCTAGTTATAACGGAGGGAGGACTGAATCTAAGACTAATTTTCATTATTAGCAGAATAATCTGCTCTTAGGTAATTACATTACTGTGTGGTTTGGTGCTTTGGGTGTCTTCGGGAGATGAAGGAATCTTTTGGGAAGTGACTGTGACCTCTGGAACGACTGGACGCAGGAGCTCTATAAAGAGAACGGGTCTGGCACTGAATGAAGAGCATTAGCATGTAAATATGTGACCCTGAGCTGAACCTTCTGAATTAGCCTACCTCAATAACCGATTCATTTAATAAATAGCCGAACACTAAAAATAATATGTTTTTGAGCATATGTGGCCTACTTTATGATCATTAAATGGCCTACTAGAGCTGGCTGTCTGGTGCAATCTTAACAACCTGGAGCTGAACACCCTCAAAACTGTGGAGATGATAGTGGACTTCAGGAGGAACCCCCCTGCTCTCCCTCCACTCACCATCATGGACAGCACTGTGGCTGCAGCGGAGTCATTCAGATTCCTGGGCACCACAATCTCTCAGGACCTAAAGTGGGACACTCACATGATCTACTATACGCACCAACGGGTCCTAACTACGCCAAAACCCAAACCAGACCCTGAAACGTGTGGGACGTTTGTTTTTGTGCCACTCGCTGCATGGGAGCGGGGTTTTCACAAGGTGAGGAAAGCCCACTCGGGTCCACCTGTCACTGACGTCAGTGACCTACCTGCGTGTTTTTCTGCTCGCTCTCGAGGTGGAAATCAAAGGAAGCCACTTCAAAGCGCTCGGCTTGTTTTTGGAGATTTGAAAGGTGTACCCCACCGTCATTCGTTTCATCTGACACTCGACACACATCAACAGCTCTTTTAGTTATGGAACATTCTCACCTCCTCTCTCATTTAAAAAAGAACTTGTTCCATTCTATGACCATGTTTGCTGACTTTTATATGAGGTTCAGCAATAACCCTGTTTATCCACCTTATTTAGCAAAACAGAATAAGTTAGGCCTATTTCATATAAATGTGCGAGACTTAGCTGCTATAGGTAGTGAATAACTAAGAATAGCAATGAGCAGTAAACGTTAAAACTATATGCACTACAAACCAGTGTTTTTACAATAATAAAATAATACCAATTACCAGTTTGCAATACTGCTCTGTACACTAAAATAACTACCGATTAACCATGTTTTTCTTAGTAAAAGTGTAGTAACCATGTTTTTTTGATGTATTAAGTAGCATATAACCACATTGTATAACAGTTTTACTACAAATACCATGGTTAGTGTACCAACACCATGATTAATTTGTGTTTATCGTAGTTTAACTAGGCAAACTATGGTGTTTTGGGGTTTATTTGTAGTAAAACCATGGTTAATTTGTGTAAGGAAAATGGCACTGCTGTCACATTAAAAAAATAAGGTGGATTTTTTTTAATTGGGGTCAGGGGATGGCTGTATACATTTTTTGAGTATGTGATTTTTTAAATTACAGTTTTTTACGATTGCTTACACACTAAAATTAAACTTTTCCAACAATTAGCAAAACCTTACACTCAAGGAGCAAAACACAAGGCTAGATTTGCACAACTGTAAGCACATTGTCAGCTTCACACTATTTGCAAAACATTACACACAGTGATTTGCAAAACACTAAACACACTTGTATACATCAGACACAGAAGTAAATCATGATGTCACTTCCTTGCAATTCCAAAGCACTAACTGTCAAATTACCACACCTATGAGCCAATCTGTTAAACACAGCCATCAGGTGCACAAACACATGATTGCTAAATTGTAGACACACCAATCAGGTTTAAGCACTATAAAAATGCAGCAGGTAGGCTCACCTGCCTTCAACCAAAATGGAAGGAGTCAGAAGAAGAGTGAGGGTGAGAGGAGGAGTACACAGAGGAGGAGAAAGAGGCAGAGGCCGAGGAAGACCTGAAGCAGGAGGAGAACGTGCACAAAGAAGAAGAGGACCAAACTTATCAAATGACATTCGTGCAACACTAGTGGACCATGTTGTGAACCACGGATTGACGCTGAGGGAGGCTGGACTGAGAGTTCAGCCAAATCTTAGCAGATATACAGTGGCATCTGTCATAAGGACTTTTCGACAGGAAAACAGGTAAAAGAAGATCTGTCTACAGTTACAGTAATCTGTTTTCAAAATTGTGCTTAAGCAATCGTAAAAAACTGTAAAGAAAGTTATAGCTTCTTCAGTTCAGTGTTTTGGCTTCACCAGTACATAGATGAGTTTCTAAAGACCGTTAAAAGACTCTCTTATGGCTGTAAAACTATTTGAGTTAACCTGAAACTGTTTTTTTTTCCCATATTGAAGGTGAGTTTAATTAATCAGGTTTAATATGATTGTATCTCTCTCGTTTCCCTTTTTCAGTTTAATTGACACGAGAATGGCTCACAGGCCTGTAAAAATGCAGCTCTCATGAATGAGTCAAAGCTCACTGAGCGAAGTTTCACAACAGAACCTGTGTGTGTTATTTTTATCCTGCCTTCGCGATGAGCCAGCCTGAAGAGTTTCAGAACTATGGAATATTTATTCTTCATACTTCCTCTATTCTAGAGAACAAGAGAAGCTTTCTAACGCCTGACAGACTGTCAGAAGGAGCTTCTCATGCACACACACACACACACACACACACGCACAGGAGAAACATCAGTGACTGATGACGACAAAATGTGGGCTCATCTCCTCCATCACACGCAGTTTTGGCACATTTCATATCTCTCTTTCTCCCACGCACACACTGCAAATCTCTCCAGCGATCTCATGAATATTCCTTCTTGTTCCTTCCAAGGCTGATAGATGAACTCTGATGACACTTTCCATCAAACACCCACCGACACGGCTGCTTCAGCTCAACATCATGTACTCCAGCATGCTCAGACTCTCATTGATGCCTCAGATGAGTTTAATTTGTTTAACTAACCTGT